GGGGTGGGGACAGGGACACGGGGACAGGGACATGAGGATGGGGGTGGGGGTTAAAATGGGGATAAGGAGGGGGATGGGAACGATGCCGAGGATGAGGGGGATCAGGATGAGGGGGAGGATGAGGATGGAGGTAGCAATGAGGATGGAGTCGAGGGTGGGGATGGGGACAAGGAAGGGATGACGATGGAGACAGGAGAGTCAGGACTGAGGAGGAGGACAGGGAGGTGACACCCCCGTGCCCCCCAGGCTGTACCCTGTCATCCCGGCCAACGCCCGCGTCGTCCCCGACCGCGACATCCGCGTGGGCGAGTACCTGGTGCCGCGCCAGGTGAGCGGGGGGACACCCCCACACACACCCCTCACCCCCCGGGGGTCCCCGGGAGGTCCCCAGCGTGTCCCCCTGACCCCCGTGTCCCCCCAGACCCTCATCACCCTCTGCCACTACGCCACGTCCCGCGACAGCCGCTTCTTCCCGGCGCCCGACACCTTCCACCCGGAGCGCTGGCTGCGCCACCGGGACCCCGGGGACGGCTTCGGGGACACCCCGGGGGACCCCAGTGACACCCCCGGTGCCACTCCCGGCCCCGGGCACCCCTTTGCCTCGCTGCCCTTCGGCCTCGGCCCCCGGAGCTGCGTCGGGCGCCGCTTGGCCGAGCTGCAGCTGCACATGGCGCTGGCACAGGTGGGTGTCCCCCTGTCCCCGTGTCCCCTGGGGTGCCCGTGTCCCCTCCCGTGTCCCTCACCTGTCCCTACCCCCCAGATCCTGCTGCAGTTTGAGGTGCGTCCAGAGCCCGGGGGGGGCCGTGTGACCCCCATGACCCGAACCCTGCTGGCCCCCGGCACCCCCATCGGGCTGCGCTTCCTCGAGCGGTGACACGGGGACACCGAGGACACTGGGAACAGCAGGGACATTGGGGACACCAGGGACATCAGGGACATCGGGGACACCGGGAACACCAGGGACACCGGGGACACCGGGAACACCAGGGACACCAGGGACACCGGGGATGTTGTGGACACCGAGGACCCCAGGGCCATCAGGGCCATCAGGGACTCTGTGACATTGAGGACACCGGGGACACTGAGGATGTTGGGGACAGTGGGGAGGCCTCGACCCCAGTGGTGACCTCACCAGCCCCCAGTGGTGGCCTCGACCTCGGCGGGGACCCCTCCCCCCGTGGCGTCCCCAATGCCATCGTGTCCCCCATCCCAGGGGTCCCTGACCCTCATGGGGACTCCAGACCTGGTGGTGACCCCGCCCCTGCAGTGGCCTTGCCCCCCTAGTGACAGTGACTGTGACACAGCCCCGATCCTGGGGGGTGGCCTTGACCCCAGTGGTGGCCCCAACCCCACGGTGGCCTCAATGACCCCGATGGTGGCCTTGACCACAGCTGTGTCCCTGCCCCTGTGGTGGCCTCAGTGACCCCGATGGTGGCCCCCCCAACCCCGTGGTGACCCCAGCACTGCTGGTGGCCGTCCCCTCCCCCTTTTCTCTCCCCCCCTCCCCCGGTGATTCCGGGTTTATTTATTGGCCAATAAAGTGATTTTGGTACCTCTGGAGCTCCTGCCCCTCCCCCCGTGACTCAACCCCCCGTGACCCCCCCGGGGTGGGGGGGACCCGCCCCAACCTGCCCAGGTGTGCCCAAGGGGGGTGTGGCCTCACGGGGGGGGGGGAGGGAGGGGAAACACGGCGGGGGGAGTTTTGGAGCCCCTCCCGGTGTCCCCAAGGGGGGGGGGAGGGTCGGGGGGGAGGCCAGGAGGGGTGAGGGGTGTCCGGGGCGGGTTAACCCGGTCGGTGCCACCCCCGGGGGGGGGTCAATGTCCCAGTTGGGAGGGTCTGACGTCAGCACGGGGGACTCTGGACCCTCGTGGGGACCCTGGGGCGGCCGAGCGCGGTGACCGCCCCTCCCCCCCCCCGGGGCACCCGCGGGACACCCCCCAGGGGGACACCCCCCCAGGTGACACAGGTGGGCAGGGAGGGGAGGGGGAGGGACAAGGGGAGGTCAGGAGGAGGATTGGGCTCACCTGGGCACAGCTGGGCTCACCTGGACTGATCGGGGCACCCCTGGGCTCACCTGGGCACAACTGGGCACAGCTGGGCACAGCTGGGCTCACCTGGACTGATCGGGGCACCCCTGGGCT